CTTTTGTCCATGTTGAGTTTGTTTTTGTGTATGGTGTAAGAAAGTGGCCCAGTTTCATTCTTTTGTATATTGTTATCAAGTTTTCCCAACACCATTTGTTGAAGACTTTTTCCCATTGCATAGTCTTTCCTGCTTTGTCGAAGATTAGACTATATAGTTGTGGGTCCATTTTTGGGTTCTTGGTTCTGTTGTATTGATCTATGTGTCTGCTTTTGTGCCAGTATTGTACTGTCTTGATGACCACAGCTTTGTAATATAGCTGGAGGTCTAGAATTGTGATGCCTTCAGCTTTTTCTTTTTCAAGATTGCTTTGGCTATTAGGGGTCTTTTGTGGTTCTATACAAATTTTAGGATTGTTTTAGTTCTGTGAAAAATGCTGGTAGTATTTTGATAGAGATCACATTATATGTGTAGATTGCTTTGGGTGGTATAGACATTTAAACAATATTTGTTCTTCCAGTCCATGAGCATGGAATGTTTTTCCATTTCTCTGTGCCTCTTCAATTTCTTTCATCAGTGTTGTATAGTTTTCAGAGTACAGATCTTTTAACTCCTCGGTTAGGTTTATTCCTAGGTATCTTCTGGTTTTTGGTGCAATTGTAAATGGGATCGATTCCTTTATTTCTTTTTTTGCTGCTTCATTATTTGTGTATAGAAAGGCAACAGATTTCTGTAGGTTGATTTTGTATCCTGTGACTTTGCTGAATTTCTAGCAATTTTTTGGTGGAGTTTTTGGGTTTTCTAAATAGAATGTCATGTCATCTGCAAAAAGTGAAATATTGACTTCTTCCTTGATTTGGATTTCTTTTATTTCTTTCTGTTGTCTGACTGCTGAGGCTAGGACTTCCAATACTGTGTTAAATAAGTGTTGAGAGTGGACATCCTTGTCTTGTTCCTGATCTTAGAGATAAAACTCTCAGTTTTTCCTCATTGAGGATAATATTACCTGTGGGTGTTTCATATGTGGCCTTTATGATGTTGAAGTATATTCCCTTTATCCCTACTTTGTTGAGGGCTTTTATCATGAATGAATGTTGTACTTTGTCAAATGCTTTTTCTTGAAATGATCATATGGTTCTTATTCTTTCTTTTACTAATGTGGTGTATCATGTTGATTGATTTGCAAATATTGAACCACCTTTGCAGCCCAAGAAAAATTCCCACTTGATCCTGGTGAATGATTCTTTTAATGTACTGTTTGATTCAATTCTAGTATTTTGTTGAGAATTTTTGCATCCATGTTCATCAGGGATATTGGCCTGTAGTTCTCTTTTTTAGTGGAGTCTTTGTCTGGTTTTGGAATCAAGGTAATGCTGGCCTTGTAGAATGAGTTTGGAAGTTTTCCTTCCATTTCTATTTTTTTGAATAGTTTGAGAAGAATAGGTATAGTATTAACTCTTTTTTAAATGTTTGGTGGAATTCACCTGTGAAGCCATCTGGCCTTGGACTTTTAATAATCAAAAATTTCCCAGTAAACAATTCAGTTTCTTTGCTGGTTATCAGTCTTTTCAGGTTGTCTGTTTCTTCCTGTTTTAGTTTTGGTAGTTTATATATTCTAGGAAGTGATCGATTTCTTCCGGGTTGTCCGGTTCATTGGCATATAGTTTTTCATAATATTCTCTTGTAATTGTTTGTATTTCTGTGGTGTTTGTTGTTGTTTCTCTGCTCTCATTTGTGATTTTACTTATTTGGGTCCTTTCTCTTTTCTTTTTGATAGGTCTGGTTAGGGGTTTACCAGTTTTATTAATTATGGCAAAGAACAATCTCCTACTTTCTTTCTTTTTTTTTTTTTTTTAAGGTTTTATCCATTCATTTGACAGAGAGAACACAAGCAAGGGGAGCTGCAGGGGGAGAGGGAGAAGCAGGTCCCCACTGAGCAGGGAGCCTGAAGCGGGGCTTGATCCCAGGACCCTGGGATCATGACGTGAGCCAAAGGCAGATGCCTAACTGACTGAGCCACCCAAGCGCCCCTCATCTCCTACTTTCATTGATTTGTTCTACTTTTTTTGTTGTTTTTATATCATTTATTTCTGCTCTGATCTTTATTATTTACCTTCTTCTGCTGGCTTTAGGTTTTATTTGCTGTTCCTTTATGAGGTCCTTCAGGTGTAAGGTTAGGTTGTATATCTGAGACTTTTCTTGCTTCTTAAAGGAGGCTGGTATTGCTGTGTGCTTCCCTTTTATGACCACTTGTGCTGCATCCCAAAGGTTTTGGACTGTTGTGATTTCATTTTCATTAGCTTCTATGTATTTCTTCTTTAATTTCCTGCTTAGCCCATTCATTCTTTTTAGAATGTTCTTTACCCTCCGTGTATTTGTGGTCTTTCCAAATTTTTTCTTGTGGTTGACTTCTAGTTTCATAGCATTGTGGCTAGAAAATATGCATGGTACGATCTTGATCTTTTTATACTTTTTGAGGCCTGATTGGTGGACCTAGTATGTGATCTCTTCCAGATAATGCCCCATGTGCACTTGAAAAGAATTTGTATTCTGCTGCTTTAGGATGAAATGTTCTGAATATATCTGTTAAGTTCATCTGGTCCAGTGTGTCTTTCAAAGCTATTGTTTCCTTGTTGATTTTCTGCTTAGATGATCTGTCCATTGATGTAAATGGGGTGTTCAAGTCCCCTACTATTATTGTATTATTATTAGTGGGTTTCTTTGTGTTTGTTATTGTTTTAAATATTTGGGTGCTCCCAGGTTGGGGGCATAAATATTTACAATTGTTAGATCTTCTTGTTGGATAGTCGCCTTTTTTAAGATATAGTGCCCTTCATTTCTTGTTTCATTGTTTGGTTTAAAATCTAGTTTGTCTGATATAAATATCACTACGCTGGTTTTCTTCTGACATCCATCAGCATGATAAATATTTTTCCATCATCTCACTTTTAATCTGCAAGTATCTTAATGTCTAAAATGAGTCTCTTGTAGGCAGCATATAATTGGGTCTTGTTTTTTTGTTTTTAATCCATTCTGATACCTTGTGTCTTTTGGTTGGAGCATTTAGTCCATTTACATTCAGAATGCTTATTTTTTTAAAGATTTTATTTATTTATTTGACAGAGAGAGAGGGAGAAAGAGAGAGGAGAGAGAGACAGTGTGCACACAAGCAGGGGGAGCAGGAGAGAGAGAAGCAGTATCCCTGCTGAGGAGGGAGCCAGACGCGGGGCTCGGTCCCAGGACCCCATGATCATGACCCGAGCCAAAGGCAGATGCTCAACCTACTGAGCCACCCAGGCTCCCCAGCATGTTTACTGATATATATATGTACTTAGGGCCATTTTATTAGTTGATTTGTCGGTGTTCCTGGAGATTTTTTCTGTTCCTTTCTAGGCTTTGTTGTTTTTGGTCTTTCTTTCCAGTTAAAGAGTCCCCTTTAACATTTATTGTAGGGCTGGTTTAGTGGTCATGAACTCCTTTAGGTTTGTGGGTCTGGGAAACTCTTTAGCTCTCCTTCTGTTCTGAATGAGAGGCTTGATGGATAAAGTATTCTTGGCTGCATATTTTTCACATTCAGCACATTGAATATATCCTGCTGCTCCCTTCCGGCCTGCCGGGTTCTCTGGAGAGATCTGCTAACCTTATTTGTCTTCCCTTGTAGGTTATGGTTTTCTTTTCCTTGCTGCTTTCAGGATTCTTTCCTTATTTCTGTATTTTGCAGATTTTACTCCAATATGTCTTGATGTTGGCCTCCTTTTGTTGATTTTGATGGGAGTTCTCTGTGCCTCCTGGATTTGGATGTCTGTCTCCTACTCCAGATTAGGGGGGTTTTCAGCTATAATTTGCTCAAATAAACCTTCTGCCCATTTTTCCCCCTCTCCTCTTCTGGAACTCCTATGATATGAATGTTGTTACACTTTACAGAGTCTTTGAATTCCCCAAGTCTGTATTTATGATCAATATTTTTCTTTCCCTCTTCTTTTCAGCTTTATTATTTTCCATAATTTTGTCTTCTATATCACTTATTCATTCCTCTCTTCTTCTACCCTTGTGGTCATTATATCCAGTCCATTTTGCATCTTGGTTATAGCATTTTTTTTTTTTAATTTTGGCCTGACTAGTTTTTAGGTCTTTTATCTCTGCGCTAAGGGACTCTGGTGTTTTCTATGCTTTTCTGAAGCCCCAGCTAGTATCCTTCTGATTGTTGTTTTAAATTCTGGTTCAGGCATATTACTAATATCTGTTTTGATTAGATCTCTGACCATTACCTCTTCTTGTCCTTTCTTTTGGGGTGAATTCCTCCATCTTGGCATTTTTTCTAGGTCTCTGTATTCTGTGTTATGAAAAACTGTTATGTTTCATGCTCCTGAGAGTAATGACTATATTAAGAAGAGGTCCTATCCTGTCCAGGGCCTGGCACTTCAGGAAGTGTTTCTGATGTATGCTGTGTGCACTCTGCTGTTGTGTTTTGGCTGCTTTTTCCCTCGGGTCAGTTCTCTTCAGAGTTTCTCTTTGCCTGCAGTGGTTAGTGTTTTAACAAGGCGTGTTTTGGTCTGCTTGTTAAAAGAGGCTAGATCCTGTTTCTCCTAGAGCTGAAGCTTTTCAGCACTCTATGGTCAGTAGACTTGACGCGTGCAGGGGGTTTGTGCTGGTCTTTTGGGGAAGAGGCCCACTACTGTTTTGAGTCTCAGGCACACTTGCCCTAGTTCAGAAGCACCTGTAGAGACGCAGAGGTGCGTGGCTTGGTGTAAGTGGCCCAAGCCTCCACTGTGGGGCACTTTGCTGCTCACTGAAGTTCCTCCATGCTGATGGGGAGGGTGAGGGAGGTGGGGGGTGGAAATGGCATCAGTGGGCTCTCTGGTCCCCAGAGAGTGGAGTGTGCACCCACTGCTGCTCAGGAAGCTCTCATAGAAGAGCAAACAATTTCCCCTCATTTGTCCCTGGCATCCCTCAGATCACTGCCTTCACCCTGTCTGTGTCTGAGATGTCTGCCCATCCAGTCATTCAGTGCTCCTGTGTTTTATCTCAGACACACTGGCTGGGTTTCAGAACTCCAAATTTTAGGGACCTAGTGCTGTAGGGACCCACACTGATCCACTGGAGGAGGGTCTGGCCAAGCTGTGGCTGGTGCCAGTTTGTCCCAGAAGAGCAGTCACACAAATGTGTAGGGGCTTGAAGTTTATGGTGAAGTGCAGCAAAAAGCCAGTGTCCAGGTTACCTGTCCTCTGCAGGTGTCTCTGTTCATATGCTAATGAACAGAGCAGCTCATTGTTGCCCAACAGGCTCTTTTGTTCCTGGAGAGGCAGTGCCATTTCTCCCAATACACTCCAAGAAGGAGAAGGAGAACTGTCTCTCCCAGTGCCACCAAGGATCCTCAGAGCACACTGTCCACTGTCTGCTCCTGGGCCTCTGCCCTCCTTCTCCACAGGAGCACCTCCACACCCACCAGGCTCTATGTGGAGATGTTGCAGACTTCTAAAACTTTAGTCTCTGAGCTCTGCTGCTTCTAAAAACTTGCAAAAATCAGCCTCTCTCATTTTCCCTATCAGTGGTTTTGGGGAAGTGTTTTTCTTGTGTAATGCCCCAAGTTCTAGTCACTCTCTCTCTCTCTCCCCTCTCTCCCAGATTAGGGCTCTCTCCCCTCCACAGCACCTGTGATTCTTTTCTCCCCCAAATCACATCTCTGCATCTCCTAGTTTCCAGGATGTGACCACTTCTCTCCCTCTAGTTGTGCAGTTTGTTCTCTCAGTTCTCAGATTGATTTCCTGGGTGTTCAGAATGATTTGATATTTATCTAGCCATGCTGGAGGGACAAGGCAAATACAGGGTCCTCATACTACTCTGCCATCTTAACTTCTCCTCTTTTATTCTTAAAGTACAGTTTTTCCAGGTAAAGTATTCTTGTTTGGCAATTTTTTTTTTTCCTTTCAGCGCTTTGAATATATCTACCCACCTTCTTCAGCTTACAAGGTTTCAGCTGAGAAATCCATTGATAGTCTTAGGTGCTATTCCTTGTATAGTCCCTTGCATGTGACAAGTCATTTTTTTCTTGCTGCTGTGAAAATTCTTTATTTTTGACTTCTGACAATTTAGTTATAATGTGTCACATGGTGATCCCTCTGGGTTGAACATATTTGGGAAATTTGGGGCTTCACAGATTTGGATGTTCTTTTTCCTGTGTAGATTTGAGATGTTTCAACCATTATTTAAGTTTTTGGCCCCTTTCTCTCTCTCTCCTCCCTCTGAAACTCCTATAATATGTTGGTTCTTTTTGGTGTTGTATTAAGTCCCATGGGCTTTCTTCATTTTTTCATTCTTGTTTGTGGGTCTGAATTTATAATTTCAAATGAATTGTCTTTGAGTTTGTTGATTCTTTCTTCTGCTTAATTCTGCCGTTGAAGTCCCAGAAATTTTCAGTTTGATCATTAAATTCTTCATCACCAGATTTAATAGTTTTTATTTCTTTATTTTTATTTTTAATTTTTTTGTTTTGTTTTTATTTTCTGAGCTTCTCATTTTGTTCATGTATTGTTTTTCTGATTTTCTTTAGTTATCTGTGTTCTCTTTTAACTCATTGAGCTTTTTAATGACAATTTTTAGGAATTCTCTGTTAAGCAGTTCATGGATTTCCATTTCTTTGGCATTGGTCACTGAACTTTTTTAGTTTCCTTTGGTGGTGTCATGTTTGCCTGATTCCTTGTGACTCTATAGCCTTGCACTGGTGTCTGTGCAACTAAAGGAGCAGGAACTTCTTCCATTCTTTACAGAGTGCTTTTGGTAGGTGAAGACCTACTTAGCAGGTTCCCAGGAAACAATCCTGCCTCTAGGAGTGCAGTTGAGCAGAACCAGGGTCAGATCATGGGGCTGCTTTCAGGTCTACAGTCAGGTCAATGGTTAGCTGGTTTATTACTGGGGGCATCAGTAGGCATAGCTTGTGTTGGTTACCCAGGTGGATAAGCTACTTCTGAGTCCATAGTTGGCAGGCCTGTTACTTGGGACACAGATTGGCATGTCTCCTCCCTGGTCCCTTGGGTGGACAAGACTGACTCTGGGATCACAGTTGAGCAGTTGGAGTTAGTTATGGGGTTGCTTCTAGGTCTGCAGTTGGATCTGCAGTCAGTGAGCCTGTTGTTAGGGTCACAGGCAGGTGTCATCCCTACCAGGTCCACTGGTAGGCAGGACTGGTAGCATGACAATGGATGTGTGGGGCCAGAACATATACATGGGGTAATAGAGCTGCTCCTGTGTCTGTAGTCAGGCCTTGGGGCAGGGTATGCCTTCTCAAAGAGTCCTCTGTCTTGGGCTCCACTGTGGTGTTGCAACTTCCTACCTGGATTTTGAAGCTCCCACAATGGCACTTTTGTTTGTGGATGGTTGCCAAATTCGTGTTTTTGGGGGGAACAAGGGCTGGAGACCTATTCTGCCATCTTGCTAGTAACCATCAATTAGCTGGCCTTGTTGAATACTATTAACCTCACACTTCTTTTCAAATTCAAAGGAAAACAAAATTGGAAAATGCCATTTTTTTTTCCCTACAGGGAATCATTAACTTTAAACTACTAATGCCCAAAGCATTGCTTTAAATTGGTTATTCAACTGCTCATCCTTTATAAGAATTGTTCCATTGAAATTTTGATTTAATAGATGAGAACAACTGAAGAGTTGAAGTGATAGTATTTTGGGTCGGAGTTGGGACCGTGTATTGTGTTGGCTTTGTGACACACTTGATAGGCCTCAGTTTATAAAACAATAGCAGTAAAGTAAGTGCTATATGCCTGGCACTATGCAATACTTCTGAAACGTTTTTTTTTCTCCCATCCACTTCCCTCAGATGCTGAAGTTGCTCTCATGCACTTCCTTCTCTGGGCTATGCAGAAAAAAAAAACAAAACAAAAACCAGACCCTTCATATAAAGTCTCAACTCCACATGCCTCTCTTGTCTTTCTCTGTATTTTTTCTTTTGTTCCAAATTTTGCATTTCAAGGTCCAAATGACCCATTTTCAGAGAGAAAGGTAAGAAAGTAAATAGGCGAAGCTAAGATTCATCTTTAGGGAATAGTGAAAAGGGGACGTAGTGAGAACATTAAAATATTAACTATTTTTGCTCCTCCACACACAGTCATCCATGTGCTATTTGTGCTTTTTTCTATAATTTCTCATACGATTTCTTCTGCATGTTGAAATTCTTATTTTTGAAGGCCACCTGCTCAGCTGAACATCTTGGCTGGAAGTGATTGCTCTCTTACCTCCTCATGTTTTTTGGGGGTTACCACTTGTAGTATAACTTACTATGTACATTTCTTCCTTACTAAATTAGGCAAGAATCATGCCATTTTTCTCAGTGACCTTCAAAGCCTGGTTTCTCAAAGTATAATCTCCAAGCCAGCAGTATAGACATTACTGAGAGCCTGTTAGAAATTCAGAATCATGGGCTCTGCTCCAGACCTATTCAGTGAGAATCAACATTTTAACAAGATCCCCTAATTTATTTGTATGATCATTAAAATTAAGCCTTTGTTATAATCAGCTGAGTTGGTATTTTACATTATATTATCCAAGAACCGTCTTATAACACACCAACTAGCAATGCTCAGGGAGTTCCTATTTTTATTCATTTACTAGAAGCTCTTCCCAGCTATAACACTGTTATTCTGTTATACTTTAAATACTTCGGGTAATTTGGATACCATTACCTTCTTTATTACAGGTCTTAGGCGTCAAAGATTCAGCACAGGTGTCTTTTTCAAGTTCATTTCTTCCGTCAAGTACTTGTCTGTTGTTTTTTTAATTGAAAAAGGATTAAAAAGAAAATTACAGGGTTAATATGTTACAGACTTTGAAGTATTAAATACTTTCAAACTTCTGAAGTTTCGAAAATGTAATAAAAATTTTCTTTGGAACCTTTCAGCAATACAATCATTTAAATACCATAATGTTAAAAACATTGAAAATCGTTTTCAATTTTCCCATCATTAAATAATTTATAGGACATTTTTGAAGAATAATTAAATTCAAATTTAAGATACAAATAAAATGTTTTACATATATGATTTTCAAAAGAAGTAATGGAAACAAAATGTGACACTCTAAACTGCTGGGGTTTAGAAGATTTGAATGTATGGTAAAAATTTCCTATTAAGTAAATTTTATTTTCCTAGCTTTAAAAGTAACCTATTACTATAGGAAAATTTAAAAACCACAGGAAAAAAACATTAATATAATACAAATATCCAGAGTTCTCATCTGGATAATTAGCTCCTATACTTACTATTATACATTTTTAAAAACAAAGCTGAGATAATATTGTCTTATAATGTTTTTTATAGTTCTCATACATTTTTTGTTAAATGTTTTATTTAAATTATTATACATTAAAATGAACTTTTAAAGATGTAGATTCTAGGGCTAGCTCAGTTGGAAGAGCATGAGACTCTTGATTTCAGGTTTGTGAGTATGAGCCTCACTTTGGGTTTAGAGATGACTTAAAAATAAAAAAATCTTTAAAAAAAGACATGTAGATTCTGGGAATTTAACAGATGTATAGATATAGGTTATTGCTGGGGTGCCTGGGTGGCTCAGTCAGTTAAGCAGCCTGTTCTTGATTTCAGCTCAGGTCATGATCTCAGGGTTCTGGGATCGAGCCCTTGTTGGGCTCTGTGCTCAGTAGGGAGTCTGCTTGAGGATTCTCTCTCTCCCTCTGTCCCCTTCCAAATAAATAAACAAATCTTAAAAACAAAACAAACATTTCTGTTACTGCTACCAGTATACAGAATACAAAATAGTCTCAGCATGTCAAAAAAAAAAACCAAACAAACAAAAACTCTCTCATACTTAACAGTCACACTCTCCCCTATTAGTAATCCCTAGGAACCCCTAATTACTCCTCCATAACTATAGTTTTGACTTCAAGAATGTCGTGTAATTGTAATTATAGGTAAAAACTTGTGACTGGGTTCTGTCATGCAGTATAGTGTTCTTGATTTTCATCCAAGATGTTAAATTCAGTAGTTCACTTTTTATTGCTTAGGAGTATTTCACTGTATAGGTGTATCAGTTTGTTTATTCACCTTTTGAAGGATATTTGTTTTCCCAGTTTTGGCGATTATGAATAAAATGACTCTAACCATTGGGTCTTTTTTTTTTTTTTTTTTTAATCCATTCTGATACTTTGTGTCCTTTGGTTGGGGCATTTAGTCCATTTACTTTCAGAGTGCTTATTGATATATATGTGTTTAGTGCCATTTTATTAGTTGATTTGTTGGTGTTTCTGGAGATGTTCTCTGTTCCTTTCTAGTCTGTACTTTTGGTCTTTCTTTCCAGTCAAAGAGTCCCCTTTAATATTTCTTGCAGGGCTGGTTTAGTGGTCATGAATTCCTTTAGTTTTTGTTTGTCTGGGAAACCCTTTATCTCTCCTTGTATTCCGAATGAGAGCCTTGCTGGGTAAAGTATTCTTGGCTGCATATTTTTCCCATTCAGCACATTGAATATATCTTGCCACTCTCTTCTGACTTGCCAAGATTCTGTGGAAAGATCTGTAGTCAGCCCTATAATCCCATGTAAGTTAGGGATTTCTTTTGTCCTGCTGTTCTTAGGAATTTTTCTTTATCACTGTATTTTGCAAATTTAACTATAATATGTCTTGGTGTCCACCTAGCCTCTCTTGATTTTGATGGGAGTTCTCTGTGCTTCCTGGACTTGGATATCTGTTTCCTACCCCAGATTAGGGAAGTGTTGAGCTATTATTTCCTCAAATAAGTTTTCTGCCCCCTTTTCTCTCTCTTCTTGTTTTGGGACTCCTAATACTGTTGCTATTATGTTTGATAGAGTCATTGAATTCCCTAAGTCTATTCTCATGATCCATAATTCTTCTTTCTCTGCTTTGCTCTATTTCCTCATTTTCCATTATTCTATCTTCTATATCACTTGTTTCTCTGCTTCTTCCATCCTGGTGTTCATTACATCCAGTCTGTTTTTGAATTTCAGTTACTGCATTTTTCATTTTTTATTTCTTAAAATTCTTTTATCTCTGTGGTAAGGGTCTCTTTGACATCTTTCATATTCTTCTCCAGCTCAGTGAGTATCCTTATAATTGTTGCTTTAAATTCTTCATCAGGCATATTGCTTATGTCTCTTTCAATTAGATCTCTGGCCGTGACCTTTTCTTGTTTCATTTGGGATGAATTCCTCCATCTTGGCAGTTTGTCTAAGTCTCTGTCTTCTTCTTTGTGTTAGAAAAGCCTGTTATGTTTTCTGCTCCTCAGAGTAATGGCTTTATGAAGAATAGGTCATACAGTGTCCAGGGCCTGGTGCTTCAGGAAGGGTCTCTGGTGTGTGCTGCGTGCTCTCTGCTGCTGCGTTTTGGCTACTCTATCCTACAGGCCAGTGTTCTGCAGAGGCTCTCCTTACCTGCAATGGGCAGTATTTGGACCTTAGCCAGAGTGTGGCAAGTTTTAATGGGTTTGCTATGGTCTGCTTGTTAAATGAGACCTGATGCTACTTCCACTAGAACTGAAGCCTTGGAGAACTCTGGTCGGGAGACTTGGTGTATGCAGGGGTTTCTGCTGGTCTTCTGGGAAAGGGGCCCACTGCACGGGGATTAAGCCACATATCCCCGAGAGGGGCAGTACCAGCAGAGTGCAGGGGGGCAGGATTTGGTCTAAGAGGTAAGGTAGCCAGTGTTGGCACTGTGCTATTTACTGAAGCTGGTTTATGCTGAGGGGTGGGGGGAGGGAAGTGGTGCCAGCCAGCTCCTTTGTCCCTGGAGAGAGATCTGCATACTTGCTGCTCTCAGGGAAGCACTCCCAGAAGGGCAAACAATCTCCCCCACTGTGCGTCACAGGTGTTTTTCAGATCACTGTTTTCACATTGTCTGTGTCCAGGTTGCTTGCCTGCCAGGAGCAGCACAGTGCACTTTGGGCTCTATCCCAGCCAAGCCTGATGACTTTTAAAACTCTAAACTTTAGGGATGTGGTGTGGTGGGGTTTGTGCTCATCTTCTGGGGGAGAGTCTCCAGGTTTGACCAAGAAGGGCAGTTGTGCCAGAGCATGGGGCATGGGACTTAGAGCAAGCAGGCTAGGCAGACAGTTCGTGGTGAGCCACCCTCAGCAAGTGGTTCTGTAGCTATGCCAAGGGGTGGGGACGGGAAAGGGCGCCCACCAGCTCTTTTGTCCCCAGAGAGGCATCTCTGCAAATGCCACCTTTCACAGATGCACTCCAAGAAGAACAAATGATCTCTCCTCTGTGGGGTGTAAGCATTCCTCACATCACTCTGTCTGCCCCCAGTGCTGCTTGCTTGCCTTCTCTCCAGGAGTAGGGCAGTGCCCTCAGGGGTCTATCCCAGCCAAGCCTACCAACATTTAAATCTCCAATCTTTGACCCCCACTGGTTGAAAAATAACTCAGGAGGTACAGATCTGTACCTCTGAAACAAATAATACATTATATGTTAAAAAAAAAAAAGAAGAAGATAGCAGGAGGGGAAGAATGAAGGGGGGGATTGGAGGGGGAGACGAACCATGAGAGACAAGGGACTCTGAAAAACAAACTGAGGGTTCTAGAGGGGAGGGGTGTGGGAGGATGGGTTAGCCTGGTGTTGGGTATTAAAGAAGGCACATTCTGCATGGAGCATTGGGTATTATACGCAAACAATGAATCATGGAACACTACATCAAAAACTAATGATGTAATGTACAGTGATTAACATAACATAATAAAAAAAAGAAAAGAAAAGAAAAAAACTCAGGAAGATCAGCCCCTCTCATCTTCCCAGCCAATGGCTTTGGGGAGGTGTTCTCCTTGTGCATTCCCATGTGTTCCACCCTCTCCTTCTCTGCAACTTGGTCTCCCTCCTCTCTGCAGCAGCTGTGATCCATTTCTCCCCCAAACCACGTCTCTGTATCTCCTACCTTTCTCAATGTGGCCTCTTTTCTCCTAGTTGTGCAGTTTGTTCTATCAGTACTCAGGTTGATTTCTTGGGCATTCAGAATGATTTGTTAGTTATCTAGTTGTGTTCAAGGGACAAGATAAGCCTAGGGTGCCCTTGCTACAACACCATCTTAGCTCCCTCCTCTACAAAACATTTAAAGAAGAGTTAGTACCTATCCTCAAATTATTCCAGAAAACTGAAGAGGAATGAACCCTTCTGAACTCATTTTACAAGGCCAGCAAGTTAGTGCTTTCATTTTCTCTGAATAAATACCCCCAGAAATGAAATTGCTAGGTTATATAGTTCTCTTTTTAATTTTTCAAGGAACCTCCATACTCTTTTTCCATAGTGGCTGCGCCAGTTTACATTTGCACCAGCAGTGCACAAGGGTTCCCTTTTCTCCACATTTTCACAAACCCTTGTTATTTCTTGTTTTTTTTTAAATTTTTTTAGATTTTTAAAAATTTTTTAGCCATTCTGACAGGCATAAGGTGACATCTCATTGTGGCTTTGATTTGCATTTCTCTCATGGCAAATGATGTTGAGCATCTTTTCATGTACCTGTTGGCCATCTGTATCTCATTGGAAAAATGTCTAGATTCTGTGCCCATTTTTCGTAGTTTTTGGTTTTTTGCTTTTCAGTTGTATGAATTCTTTATATATTTTCGATATTAACCCCTTATCAGATATATGGATTTACAAGTATTTTCTCCCATTCAGTAGGTTGCCTTTATATTTTGTTGATGGTTTCCTTTTGCTTTGAAGAAGCTTTTTAGTTTGCTGTAGTCACACTTGTTTAGTTTTGTTTTTGTTGCCTTTGTTTTTGGTGTCTGATCCAAAAAAAATCAT